CCGAGGGCTGAGGACACAGTAATAAGCAAGACAGCCGTGGTTCCTGCCTCTGGAACTCATGGACTCGTGCAGCAAGGACACGTCATGGTGGCTTCCCCTCAGGCCCCAGAGGTCTGCCTTATTTCACCAACCTGTTCTAAAAAGTGGAGAACTCCAGGAATGAAAAAACTCATTACAAAGCACTTCTATTTTATTCTTTAATCCTCACCCCAGGATATTTTTTCCCATTGATTTTCAGACAGAGTGGAAGGGAGGGAAGAGGGGGGAGAGAAAGAGAAACATCGATATCAGAGAGACACGCCGACTGGTTGCCTCCTGCACAAGCCCTACCCCAGGCTGGGGATCGAACCTTCAACAGAGGTATGTGCCTTTGACTGGGAATCAAACACAAGACCCTTCGGTCCACAGGCTGATGCTCCAACCACTGAGCCAAACCAGCCAGGGCTCTATTTTATTCTTTAGACCGAACATAGTCTAACAGGTGCTTCCTTGTCATCTCTTATTAGCTTATTTCTGCTCAACTGTTCTGAGAGGTATGAAAAAAAATATGAAGCAATATTGGGAAATAAAAATCCCTTTATAGTACTATAGTGTTGAAGAATGAGAAAGATATCCCTGGCAAAGTAACAGCTGTGTTGAGACCTGAGTAGAAGTTTCCAAGGCCAAGGTACATGGAAAGAGAACAGATTGGGAGCCACTGAGGATGTGCAAAGGCCCTGGGGCCAGAACTAGTTCAGAACATTGGAGGAACTAAAAAAAAGAAAGAAAAAAAAGAGCTTGGGTAGCCAGAGCATAGAAAGTGAAAACACAAATGGCTAGGAACAAGGCGAGAAAAGAAATAGGGGGTCTGTCTAGATACAGCTTTACATGTCATTGTAGGGATTTGGGTCCTTATCCTGAGAGCAATGGGGAATCATGGAAAAGCACTGAGAGGCTGTGTGAGACATGATCAGATTTGAGGTTTTAAAAGATTATTCTGAACCCAGTGTGAGGCATGGACCGGAGATGAGCAGGTCATGTGGGAGAAATCTGGTCCAGAGCTTCTTCAGTAGACCTGGGGAGAGATGCTGGTAGCCTTGACCAGGGTGAAGGTAAGGGACATGAAGAGAAGTAGACTCCCCTAGAGAAAACAGGAAGATAACAGAGCTTGACAAGGAGATAACAAACAGAGTTTGATGTGGAGGTGAGAAGGAGGGTAGCATTCGTCCTCTAATCAGTTATTTCCGCTTGTCTCCAAAGCAGTTCTAGACACGCCTTCCTACCCTACGTCCAGGAGATGACCATCTGGTCCAGCTGGGGTTAGAGAACGTCAGGGATGAAGCTGAAAGGAGTCACTCATTCAGAGGCTCCAGTGACAACAGCCATTGCTGTTCATTGAATGAGCCAAGGCTGTCCCCACCCGGAGTCTTTGAGTTGGCAATACCACTGCCCGGCTCAGGCACCCACCCCTGCTCTTCATGTGGTTGGTGCTGCCTCCTAGGAGCAATCTTCATTAAGCTCCTCATCTAATGCCGCCCCCAGCCATTCTCAAACACATCACCCCCTTTGCTTTCTTCATAGCACCTGCCAGTCTCTGAAATAAATGTATGAATGCATTTGTTTACTGGTGTTTTATCTGCAGTATCTTCCCACAAGAAGGTAAATTCCATGACAACAGACACCTTGCTATTCTTATTTCACAGGGGTTAAAACAGTGTCTGGTGTATAGTAGATGCTCAATAAAAAGATAAATGAATAAATGACTCCCCAAAGACCGAATGCCCCCTGGACTTCCCTCACCTTGGGAAATCTGAATAGAGACACCAGCACTGGCTCTGGGCTTTGACACAGATGGAGCAGCTCCCCCGGCTCAGTTTCTCCACAAGCCCTTTCAGACTCAGCCTCCATCTGAACACAGGGCTCAGGTGAGTAACAGGTTTCCAAGAAATAGTACTCCCAAGGGGGTTTCCTTTTCTTAATTCCCCAAAGCGGAAGAACCACAAGCACTGGCATGTTTCCAAACTCCACACCTTGGGGCACGAAGCAAACACGATAGGATCCTGGGACGGAATTACTTATTTTCATACATGACTGGAAGAGCTCACGAGCAAACATTGCTTGTACTGCTGATTTGTTACTATTCCCCCCCTCCCCCGCCCGCCCCTAGTTTTCCCTATAGATCGCAGGGCCAAAGTCAACTGCACTGTAGTTCATAACTGATTCTTTATAACCTGGGATATTGGGCAGGATTTGGTTCTCTCAGCTTAATTCCTTCTTGGAAAGGACTCTCAATTCTTCTCCCTGAATCCTCCAATTTAATTTTGAAAAGATGCTGTTTTCATAACATGAACATGAGGACTGCATTCTGAGAGAGGAAAGAAACAGGATGTGGCCAGGCCCTTGCGGAACCCACCAAATAGACGAGTCAAAGCTTAGTCACCAGTGGACGGTCAGTTCTCAGAGCTTGTGAGTCAATAACTTCTGTGCATGGGTCTTTGATCTCTTCCAGGATCCTGCATGTCCCCAGGCCAGGAGGGAAGAGACTCATAACAGCACCGTCCAATGATGATTTCAGCTGAAGCCATCTGTGGGGCTGGTGGGATAAGATGAGCTGTCATAGCACAAATCTACTGTATTGCCCTGGGATGGGACAGAGGATGGGCCCTCGCACAGCTGGCTTAGGCTGGGTACCTCTCTCCAGCCTGCCTCCCCGAGGAGCCGTGCCTGGGCTCACACACTGGTAGATGTGCCGGGGCTGCTTGTGAAATGAAATACAGACAAAACTCTGTTCTAAAACTCTAATTCGTATACTGGAACTCTCACTTGATAGGGCAGTGATGGCAAACCTATGACACGCGAATTCATTTTTTTGGTTGATTTTTCTTTGTTAAATGGCATTTAAATATATAAAATAAATAACAAAAATATAAATCTTTGTTCTACTATGGTTGCAAATATCAAAAAATTTCTATATGTGACACGGCACCAGAGTTAAGTTAGGGTTTTTCAAAATGCTGACATGCCGAGCTCAAAAGGTTTGCCATCACTGTTATAGGGAATGTTTTCCTCCTAGATATTACCTTTCAGGCAATGGAGACAAGTGAGAAGATCACAGACTTTTTATCCACCCCCCCCCCCCCCCCCCAGGGGGGGGAGGGTGGAAAGAGGATGAAATAAAAGCAACTCTGAGGGATGTTATGTTACGGAGGCCTGAGCTCAGGGCAACACTGGTAGACCATCTTGCCACCATTGTGCATTCTGTCACACTCTACATCACTGCTCATCTGTAACCTCTGCATCTGTACCCCCGAATGGTAGCAGCAGGCACCCTTTATTCAATACTCACTGTGTGGTGAGCACGTTATTGATACGATTTTATTCAGTCTGCCCCCATGAGGTAGGTATCCATTATTATCTACATTTTACAAAGCAGGAAACAGGAATCAGACACGTTTATTGACTTGCCCCAAAACACAGCCAGTTGGTACCCGAGGTGGGAACCAGCCCCTTCCCCGACCCCGGAAGCTCCTCTCTGCTCTGGGGCCAGACTCTGCAATCAGAGTCCATTTACTCTGCTTACCAAGTCAGGAAAAGTGTGGGTTTTTGTTTTTGTTTTCTTTTTTCCCCAGGAAGATCTTCACCAACCATTGTTGTAACACTAAGTCAAAATAATACCCAAGCGTAGCCCCCTCTTATCCGTGAGAGTGCTAGACAGGTTTGTCTCTAAGGCGTCTTCCAGGTTCAGGGTTCTATGGTTTCTTTCTGACCAACTGCACAAGATCCCCTTCTTCCTCTCAAGAGGGGAAAAGCTTATTAGGTTCATTCACCAGCAATGCTCTGTAGATGGTGGGGTCCTGACAAAACCCCCACGTGGGTAATAAATTAAAGCCAGTCTCCTGGGCACACAGGAGAGTGGGCAGATGAGGCCGCTCTGCCTCCATGGGGAGGCCTTGGCTCCCACCTTGGCAGCCTTGGGCCTGGTCACGGGGTGATTACCACGCCAATCCCTGGTGTACCAGACGGTGGTGACCAGCCCCTGTGGATGCGGAGGGCACCCCGAAGCCCCCAGGTCTGCTGCCTGCTTTCCCTGCAGCAAAATGGGAGAGGGCTTCACAGGCTCCAAGCCTGAGCCCACCCGTCAAGGAGGCCACCCACCAGCCCGCCCTGTCCTGCCTGAGCCTTTCCTCCTCCACCTTCATCCCTCACTAGACACCAATGACACAGCAGCACAGTCACCCCAGGAATCAGCCTCAGCCAGAATGGTCCCTGTCCCACACTGTCTCTTACAACACTCCCCCCCTTATCACCACGGCCACTGTCTCCTGCCCCCCTGTCCCCCTGACCCTGTACCACCCTTCCTCGCACTGCCTGAGCGAGAGGTAGTGTAGACTGGGGAGTAAGTCTGCAAGCTCTGAAGTCTGAATATAGCCTTCACAACCAATGTGCTGTTAGAGCTTTAGCAAAATATTTAAATTCTACTTTTTTTAAATATGTTTTTATTGACTTTGAGAGAGAGGAAGGGAGAGGAATATAGAGATAGAAACATTGATAAGAAACATTGATTGGCTGCCTTCTGCATGCCCACGAGGTAGGTATCCACAACCTGGGTGTGTGCCCTGACCAGGAATCCAACCAGTGACCTCTTGGTTCATGGATTGACACTCAACCACTGAGCCATACCGGCCAGGCAAATTACTTAAAATTTGTAAACCACAGTTTCCTCATCTATGAAATAGAGATAACAACAGTGTCAACTCCTAGGGCTATTGTGCAGGTTAAATAAGACAATCCATGAAAAGTATTCAGAACAATGACTAACACATACCACACCTCCAATAAATGTAAACTATTACTGTGTCTACACATTTTTTTCATTATACCTTCCCATTACACACCACAGCCTACAAAGCACTTTATCATAAATCCTCTCAGTTCATGCTTAACCCTCTAAGGGCCAGGAATTACCCACTTTATTTTATAGCTGAAAAAAAACGAAGGTTCAGGGAGGTCAAGCAGCTTACCTGAGATCACACAGCTAACAAGAAGCAGAGGAGGTGAACCCTCCGATTCAGGAATTCAAGCTCTCTCCTTGTCACCCAACCTACAGCCCCAGAATCTGAAGACATCACGCTGGGCCCAGTATGGAGACATCCTGCTGGGCTGCTTGACTATCCCTGTTCAAAATAAATAGAAGCCCTAGGCCTCCACGCACTCACTGAAGCCAAGTGTGTCTCTCCAAAAACCGCTCCCTTGGAGGCTAGTCAAGGGTTTGGCAAAACCACAAAGGCCAAAGGAGCCTGTGGCTTCCGCCCCCTGAGCAGGCCCAAAGTTCCAGTGCTCTCCCAGCTTCAAAGCAACATCAAAATAGCCCAGTGTTTGCTGGAGGTGGGTCAGAGGGGGGCGCTGAGGTGGTCACCCAGGACTTTTCACTGCTTCCAGCTGGTGCAGTGTTCGCTGGGCATCAGGGTCTTGCCCGTGGAGCAGCCTGGCCCAGAGGCCCCTCCCAGTCTGACCCTCTACCCTCCCTCAGCCCCTGGCCCCTGTCCTGGCCAGGACTTGGCAGCTCTTCCTACACCAGGGACAATCCAGGAAAGGGACTCTGGGCATGAGTCCGAGGCAGGGGCCAAGTGTAAATGACATGAGGGGAGAGCAAACTGTGCTCACCAAAGAGAAACTGGCGCCCTGTCTGTCTTCTCGACTCCCAGCGGGAGCAGATTTGTTGTGACTAATGCATCAGGCTTTACATACTTTCATGCGGCATACTGATCAGCTGAAGGCGCAATGGAGGCGAGTGCAGTTTCCAAAGTTTCCAAAAGGAAGAAAAGGCTGCTACACTCAGAAAACAGTGATGGAAGCCCGTGCTGTTCCATTCCCTAACAGAGCAACGAGGACAGGGAGCTGTGGCCAGAGAGAAAGCACAGGGAACCAGTCAGAATTGAGGAGGCATTTCAGTTGGATCCTACTATCCTTCTCCTAAAAGCCCTACATGTGGTTCCTTGACCAAAATTCAAATTCCTTGGCACTACCTTCATGAGCTGGTTCCGTCCTGGGTTGAATGGTTCTCCCCAAAAATTCATGTCCTTCTGGGGCCTCGGAATGTGACTTTATTTGGAAATGGGGTCTCTGCAGATGTGTTTAGTTAAGATGAGTTTGTAATGGATTAAGGTGCATCCTAAATCCAATGACTGGTGTTCTTGTAACTAGGCCACGTGAAGACTCATAGACACAGTGAAGAACACTGCGTGAAAATGACGACGAAGATGAAAGAAATGGGTCTACAGCCAAGCAATGTCAGGAACTGCCAGCAACCACCAGAAGGGAGGACAGAGGCAAGAGGCATGAGATAGAGTCTCCCTCAGACCCTCCGGAAGGAACCAACCCTGCTGGCATCTGGATTTTAGACCCTTATCCTCCAGAACTATGAGAGAATAAATTCCTATTGTTTTACACCACCCACTTAGAGTGCTTTTGTCTTTGTTCTTAATGGCAGCCCTAGAAAACTAATATGCATCCCAATCTACATGTCTAGATCAAAATTACCCTCCTCACATGCATGGGAGGCGGCTCTGACACATTTTTAAAACAGTGACAGAGTTCAGGTCTCATCTCTGCCATCCTAGCTGCTTGGGTAAACCTCTCTTATTTTCAGTTGTCTAATCTATAAAATGAAGATAATAGAAGAGCTGTTGTGAGGGTCTGAATGAGAAAATATACATGTAACAAGAAAGAGAGACTGTATCAGCCACTAGAATTGCTCTTGGGGAGGTATTGCATTTGTTTGGAAATATAGCAAAATAAACCACTTGCAGGAGGGTACATCCCAAGGGCTAAGATCAAGAAAATGCTGGGTGCTGGAGAGCTGGTGATTAAGATTATGGATTTGTATTATGTAAGCTGAATGGTAAGAGTTGGCTGATTAAGGGTGAGGAATATAAAGTCCACAGGACCCAGCCGGCCTGGCTCGGTGATTGAGCATCTACCTATGAAAAAAGGAGGTCACAGTTCAATTCCCAGTAGGGGCACATGCCTGAGTTGCAGGCTCGATCCCCAGTGTGGGGTGTGTAGGAGGCAGCTGATCAATGATTCTCATTGCTGATGTTTCTAATTCTCTATCCCTCTCCCTTCCTCTCTGAAATCAATAAAAATATTTAAAAAAATAAAGTCCACAGGGATGAATCCAAGAGAGAAAAAAGGGCAAGCAAGAGAGTGAGGGAAGGAGGAAGCAACACCTCTTCATACCATAGTGTGGCTAAGGAAGACTTTGGGGGGAAATGTCTAATGGATATTTTCAGTTGTTTGTGATGAAGTATACAAGATAGGTAAGTTCATTCTCCCATATCCCCTACAAAATATCCAGTGAAGTCTAACTTGGGTACCAACATCTTTATGATTATGGATTCTTTTTCTTTGATCTTGGAGAGATACTGAGTTTGAAGACTGGGTTGTCTTAGGGGTAAAAGTAAGAAGAGCCCACATAGACATGTGAGCTAGAAAACCAGAGACCTGGGGGACAACTGGTTTGCCCTCATTACAAGTGGCGGCATATTGCAGGTACTTTATAAATTTTATACATAAATGTTTGCTTCAGCCTCAGTCCTCACCTTCCTGACCATGTCTTACTTCTGCTTAAGCTTGTAATGACTTCCCTTCCTCTACCTCTTCTTCAATATCTCAATCCTACCCATCCTTCAAGAATCAGCTGCCTCCCACGTGAAGGCCCTGGCCAGAAAGGGACTATCTTCCTTTTCCCAAGTTTGTGCAGTGTCTGTTCCCATGCAACAAGGACTGTATTCTTTCTGGACTTAGAGTTAGTAAAAAATAAGGCAAAAAGTCATGCAGAGGCAGATAAGGGAAGATGAACTCAGAACAAAGACAAAGACCCAGAAGAGAGTGGAGGAGGGGGAGAAATTAGGAGGTGGGGGCACTGCAAGGCTCAAAGGGCCAACTTCATTCATGATCACTGTGTCTGGCTGGGTGAGAGGGACAGAGGGAAAAGGTGACCTCTCTAGCAGGCCCTTTCGTGGAGCTGAAATTCAAGCGTTTCCCCTGACTCTTGAGTGTCACTGAAGCACAGTGAAAACAATTCCTAGGCTGGTAATGTGGTTTCCTGGAAGCTCTCTACAACCACGTGGGCACAAATTACCCAAACCTCCTCCCGCCAAGCTTTCTCCCAGCCCTCCCTCAAAGCAAATAAATACATCCACCAGGGCCTGGAATTGGCATTAACCTCAAAGGTAGGGCAGGTGAAAGGCTCGACCCACTTACAGGGGCTCTGTAAAGGAGACCAACATGGGCCTGGAATGGAAAATAACTCCATTTACCTGTTCAATGAGAACAGGCAACAACCAGGGACAGCTCCTTACCTATCACCTGCCCTTAGCACCTGTCCTGGAGCCCAGGCTACTGAGCTGCTGAGAGCTGGAGATGCAGGAAAAAAAGTACATTCTTGCTTTTCTCAAGAAGGTCCTTGTGCAGCAGGAGACAAATGAGCAGGCAGGTTCAGTGCAGCGTGCATGGTGCAACAGAGGGCGGGCCCAGGCTGTGACAACCCAGAGGAGGGAACCTAACTAAACCTAGAAGCCTGTGCTGAGCCTTGATGGATGAAGAGGAGTCATGGTATTGCTTCAAGTCTGTGACTCACTATCACCACAAATACACACACTGGTTGTAAGATTCATCCTCATTTCAGAAATATTAAAGTGCACAGAAATGTATGACTTGGGTTGGGGGGTAGAATCAATAATAAAGAGGTGAAAAAGTGTAGAAAGGGCTATCCAGACAGAGGGAACAGAATATACAAAGGCCCAGAGGTCAGATCATGGCTGCCATATAGGTCCCGTTCTAGTAGGTATATGTGGGGACTCAGAAGTGGTTGCTATAACAGAATACCACAGACTGGGTGGCTTAAACAATATTTCTCTCAGTTCTGAAGGCTGAGTGCCAGCATGGCGGGGCTCTTGGTGATGGTCTTCCTTCTGGTTCATAGATGGTTGTCTTCTGATCGTATCCTCACATGGGGGATGGGGGGGGGTGGAGATCCAGTCCCTCATCTCCTTATAAGGACACTAATGCCACCATGGGGGCTCCACCCTCATGACCTCATCTAAACCTAACTATCTTCCAAAGGCCCACCTCCCATGGAGGGAGGGGCACAAACATTCACTCCATAGCATTAAGTTATAATCATTGAAGTTAATGACATGGAATAACCACTGTTTGCCTAAGAAGTACCAACAAAAGGTCCATCACAAGGTTCGGAGAAGTACAGATTGGTAGTTACAAAACAGTCATGAGGATATAAAGTACAGCATAGGAAATATAGTTAATAATATTGTAACAACTGAATGGTGCCAGGTGGGTACTGGAAATATCAGGGTGGAACACTATAAAGTATATGATTGTCTAACCACTATGCTGTACACCTGAAATAAAGTTAAAATAATATTGAACATAAATTGTAACTGAAAAAAATTTTAATTAAAAAAGAAAAGTAAACTTTTCAAGAAAACTTTCATCACAGTGCTGTCTGTGATAATCTACAGTGGGAAACAACATGACTGACTGTCCAACAGTCAGGGATGGGTTAAATAAATTATGGTACCTGCAGACAACTTAATACTCTCCAGCTAGTAAAAGTGACTGCGTATAAACATATTTTATCACATGGGAATTTGTCCATGATGTATTAAGTTTATTTTTTTAATGGAGGTCAGAAAATACAAAGAACTAAATTAGTAGGAAAAAAAAGACTAAAAGAAAACTAACCAAAATATTCACAATTGTTATCTCAGAGGTATGATTATAAGTAATTTTCAACTATCCTTGTATCCTATCCATATATTTTAAATTTTCTACAATATACATGTAAGATTTTTGAAATGAGAAATGGGAAAAGAAGGTAAGTATGTATGTGAGTGAGAGGGAGAGGGGAAGGGAGAGGAGAGGGGGAGAGAGAGAGAGAGAGAGAGAGAGAGAGAGAGAGAGAGAGAGAGAGATTACATGACCCAGGAAATGTGGGACACAGCATCAAGGTAACCCTTGGCCAGAATGATGGACAGGAACCCAGCCAGGATTCCCGTAGCCACCCCCCTGTGGCTGTTACCTAAAACCCCTCCTATTTGCTTCTCTAAAAGTCACACTCAATCAGCTGAAACAGTCAGTTTAAATGACACAGCCACATTCACCTTCCAAGATGGGACTGCAATTCTTCTTGGAGCCCAAGTTTCCTTTTAAAAATATTTGATTAATTATTTTAATTGTCAGCAAATCAGTATTGACAGATGTTGAGTGTTGTCCTGTTTTTTTTTGTTGTTGTTTTTTTTTGTTGGTTTTTTTTTGGGGGGGGGCGGGGGGAGAGTGGGAACATGAAAGCAGAAGCTCCAGGGTAGAGAGAAGATGGCTGTAGACTTTGAAGATCCCATGAGGTCAGAGAGCAAGGAGAAAGCCCTTTGCCTTCACAAG